TAATAAAATAAACACTTCTGACGAAAAGCAACGGGATGATTTTCAAACTAGCACTAACAATTTACAAGTATATTTTAAAAATAAATATTAAGTGTATATTTTTCTGTCTAATCCGAAAGAAAATAACGTTATTTTTTTAAAATTATGCAACCAATTCTCCAGAACTCTTCTGAATTTTACTGAATTATTTTTTTATTTAGAAATATATGGGACGAATTTTCCGTATTTTCACACTTGATATTGCTTGGAATTTTTAGTGAAATAATATTTTCACAGATTTTGCTTGTAAGAAAAAAAAAATAATGGACAGCCCGGAAATTAAAATGTGCACGCGAGATATCATAAATTCAATGCGGGTGAAACATACCAAAAAAGAACATTTCAATTGAGATCTTTTAATAAAATAACAAATTCCGTAAACAATCATTCATTACTTAATAAGTACTGAAAATGTCTTTGAATAGGTTAATTTTCTGATTTTTTTTGCAAATCTTTTAAAACATAGATGCCATGCAACAAGATCAACTTCTTATAAAAATAAGGAATCCAAGCTCTATTGTTTGCTACTTCGTAGTTACCGCATGATGGCGAATATTGCCATATAGCAAGATTTCCGTTAGAAAGATCAACTTGCTGATATCATTTATAAAAGCTTTTTTTTGATAATTATTTTTTATTTACCTTTAATTAATAGTTTACAATATTTTAAATTTTTCTTACATAATTTTATAGACTTTATATAATTAAATGATTAGTCGTTTAAATATTGGAAAATAATCTAGCAACCTATCTTCAGACATATCTCCGCAGTGGTAACTTTACTCTTCATTTTTCTAAGTCTTTGTAAATAGCTTCCAAATGCAGATGTGCTGAACCAGATAAAATTGATCTACGAAATTCAAAAAGGTGTTTCAACTAGACATGGTTTGTGTATCAGACAGAGCGCATCACGCTTCATTTGCATAAATAATTACATTTATATATACTAAAGTGGATTTGATATGATGCATGTTCAGCTATTTTTTTCGGTTTTCGTAAAACAAAAAATAACGAGACAATCATAAGAAATGTATGTTTTTGCAGGAATATCCAGTTATCAAATACAATCACTGGTGTGTAACGTTTTTGTGTCAAAACAACTGAAAATTCTATCACCTGGCCACAAATGTGTATATGAATAGAATATTTATATATACAAGACGCCAGCTAGGGTACGTCGGTGTGGCGTAATAGTTAGCAAGCTTGTCTCACTAGAAACAGTTACGACTGGAGAGTGATTTCGTTCCTCACTGGGTGCCCCATACTTTCGGCCTTGTGCCACATTTGGAAAATCACTATATCAAACGCCAGCTGGAGAAAATTAAGCAAATAATGTCGTTCTCTCCGATTCTCGTCTTCATTTTTTAAATTCACCCCAAGCAAAGCGAGAATGAAATTCGGACGCAGGGGTTACCGGGAGTGAAAAAGAATAAGACATACGTGGGAATGATTGAGAAAAGGATAAAAATGGAACAGAATCCAAGAAAAGAGAAGATGGCGATTGAGGTTGCACTTAAAGTTTTTTTTTTTTTTTAAGTTTGTAGTTATCCGTGAAGCAAGAAAGGTGAGAAGTGCGAGAAAATTAACTTTTAGAGTAGAAGTGGGAGTTTCTTTAATCTAGAAAAAATTGAATACAATGTCAAACGCTATCTATCGTCGCCCTGATTACTCTTTCCTCTTCCTGTTAAATAATAATGTTTCTGTTTTTAAATCTTACACGTCCTGTAATTCCGTGTGTCTTAGTGGCTTTACTGCCTTACATGGGGAGTTAACGAGACAAAAAAAAAATTGCCAATCTAGTATCACGCGTAAATTCATCTATTTGGGCCACACGGGAAAAAAGCCCGTTGTAGAAAAAAAAACAGAGGGAAGTCACGTCACGTCGGAGAGGTGACTGAAGTTGTGATATCTGGTCAGGATTGATTACATTACAGATCCTTCTTTGAATGTTGCCAAGAAACTCGAGATATACAGCAGGGGCACCAGACCGGATATGACAGCAATATTCAATGCACGGACTAATGGTAGAATTATAAATGTGCCAGATGGATTCCGAATAAGACAAAACTTCTGGCATGTCACAGTGAACCAACATTCCTTGTAGATGACATAAGAATTGATTCGATAAAATCGCTCCACTTCATTTCAGTGAAAAACGTGAGGTCAAGAAGACGTAGAGTGTTGCTCTCCTGGAGTTTAGCGTCTGCGACCCGACTGGCAGGCAGAAAGATCAACGTGACATTTTGTCAGATTATACTAATCATTAAGAATATATTATTGTCTCGTTGTTGATGCAAATACATTTGATAAGTTGCAACAAAAATTTCTATTTGAACTGTCAGGAAATATTAATATAATCCAATACATTTACTGTTGTTCATTTCTCAGGAAAAATACTCATACCTAGTATTTTTCTATAGAAAATGTATTAAGCATGTAATCTAAAACAGAATGTCGCATAAGTGGCTTCTTCTAATCGGATTAATCTAAATTAAGCAGCGAGGTGATCCTACAAATTAGTGCTATCAGAAAGTTTATAGTTGAAATTGCGTAATCTAATCGCATTCTGATATTTTCTTCGCTCACACGTCTCGATTCCGGACCTCACTTTCGGTGTCTTGCATTCTTGACCACTACGATCCTCAAAAATGTAAATGCAACGTCAATCGTCATCTCTCCTGTTCTATTTGTGTTTTAAAGTGTTTCTTTAACCCTTTCTAAGCCCTTAGCTTTCTTCCATTGCGTGGGATTAAATTCATAAAATGAAAATTATTATTTCTGGGCTTTATCTTTAAAATAGTTTTGCTAATCTTACGCTTGATGTCCTACACCACCGCTTATCTTTAAACATCGATGTCATTTTTTTGTTTATTAAATGCGAACTGAGATCCGTAGAAGTATTGGGATGACCAAGGGCGTATTCCAAAAGCTGGGTCGAATATTGCGAGACAGGCGGATATCTTTGGCAACGAAGAAAAGAATACTGAACTGTTACGTGACATCTGTCCTTCTTTACGGCAGCGAATGCTGGACGATTTCCTCAAAGATGAAGAAGAGACTCAAGCGACGGAGACGTGGTTCTACAGAAGGATGCTAAAGATACCATGGACCGATCATGTGCGTAACGATGAGGTTTTAGAGAGGAAACAAACAAAAAGGAGGCATATAATTAACATCAAGAAGAGACAGCTGAAGTTTCTGGGATACATAATGAGGAAAGAGGGCCTGGAGAGTCTGATACTCATGGGTCGAATAGATGGAACGAAAGAGAAAACAATGCATGACATACCTAGAAAGTAGATGACAGAACGTGGTCTGAGGTAGGAAGCAGAGGGAAGGAACTTGTTCAGAGCTGCAAAGGACAGAAGGAGATAGAGATCCATGATCGCCTACGTACTGAAAGATCACGGCACACAGACCGAAAAAGTATTGAATGTATTTCTATGTTAAGCCTACTAAGGAAGCCATCATAGCCTACAATATCATCTTGTTCGCCAGTGTTCTTCGAATGTTAATAATGTAATAACTCCTTATCCCAGAAATTCAGATAAGAATGTAGCTTGTAAATATAAAAATCTATTAATACAATCTCTTAAGCTCCTGTTGCCTGAGCAATTTTAAATGCTATTCATATGACTGCATACGTTATTTTTAGTGTATCTGAGTAGACCCTCCATTTTATTTATTTCGTCTGAACACTCGAGAAAATGAGCTCATCCGGCAAGATACGAAACTGCATCCCTCTTTACAGGAAAAGAAAACGACGTGTCTTAAATGCTAGTTTACGGAGAGCTACACAATCAAGGACTGTTCTATTTGCTTTAAAAGCGCATGAAATATGTAATTTTTTTCTTTCTCTGTCCATCATTTTAACATGATTGTATCCTGTTGAAAAATCCGGCTTGATAAAAGAACTTGCAGCAATTGACAGCATACAGCTGACCTACGCTTTTTTTTTTATCGATGAATACAGTCACTGCGTTGAACAGAATTTCAATTTTATTTTAATGATCTTTTTTAATTGGTTTGCACAATAATTTTATTTATATACTTCGATCAAGTCCTGATGAACGACCAGTGAAAGCTGTTAAGTGATTCCTTTTCTTCTTTCCCATTCTTTTCTTCTGATGCCTCTGTGTGTTTCTTTTTTACGAACTACGGTTGTTGTGATTTGTCTGTACTAGACGTTATAATTATATTCGTTTTATTGGCATAATAAAATTCTCTGCAGCTAACAAGATTTTTAATTTCAATAACAGTAGATTACATATTCTAATTAATTGATTCTTCCTCTTCATTTATGTGTCATGTTCCCTCACTGACCGTGAACCATGCCCCTTCACAGCTTCCTGTTTTTTTTTTGTTGCTCTTAACAATGCTTGCTTTTTTTAACTACCATTCTAACTCTCTGATCTGATGTTCCACATTCTTCATCTATGTGTCATCAGGACTTTGGCGATTATTGTTGTTCACAATTTTCTGTCCTTCGCTACAAAGGACAGTAAATTGTTTTTAATAAATATTGTCTTTTTGTGATCTCTCATAAACCTAGTTCCGTCATCCATTTAATCAAGGTCGTTTTTCAGGTCATGCGTTGTTTTCTTTTTCTCGGTCGCCTTCAATGAATTTTGTGGGCATCAAATTTTCCAGACCTTCTTTCCTCTATTTTGATCCCTAGCAATTTCTGCTGTCACTTCCTGGTGTTCATTATGAGTGTCCTTTTTGTTTGTTTCATGCTCGCTCCATAACATTATAACCATTCTTCTGGAGAACCACATTACTGTTGTTTCAAGTCTCTGCTACACCTTTGAAGAGATTCTTCAGCATTCATGTCCATATAGGAGGACTGATATTACTTAATAGTGCAGTGCGCTTTTCTTTCTGTTTCTGAAAATTTTGCTTAGATTTTATGCGTCCGAAATAGTTCAACTGCTTAACAGATTACATTTCCAGTTTGACTCATGGAAAACGAATCCAAATGGAAACGGCCTACTGATGTCACGGCATCTGCAGATTTATCCATGTGTTCATCGAAACGGTGGAATATATACACCTACTTAGCTTTCATATTCACTCATATATTTGTAAGATACGTTTTTAACGGACATTCAATTCATGCATCTATGTACACAAACGTACGCACACACACATACATACACACTATATATATATATATATATATATATATATATATATATATATATATATATATATATATATATATGTATCGATGATTTGATGTATATTCTTCGTTCATATAATAATTTGTGTGTATTCATATATATAATGTAATTATATCCACATATACTCTTTATGGGAGATAAGTTTGTACAGATGTTTGTAAAGTAAACATATTTAAATAATGAAGTGGTTGTCTGTCTTGTAAATTCGATATAAGTTCTTTGTCACCAAAAGGAAAATTGCAGGTAATTTGATTTTTATCTGATTGTTATTTTTGTTTTAATTTTCGTTTTTCAAATTTTACTGGTGGAAGTGAAAACTACATTCTCTTTTCAACGATTTAACTTAGTAAAATAAAACACTGATGTAGTTTTTTTTTGCGATAAAAACCGAAGGAGGGAAAAATTTTCCATATACATACGTTTGAGTTATATTTCCTGATCTTTTTTTCGACTGTTTATCATAGGTAATTTCAGTGTTTCCTGTTTTGTTCTGTTCTTTATTTCATTTACAATCAATTTCTTTGTTTTATTTTCAGTCTTCGTGATTTTGTTACTATTCATTTTCTGTCATTAATATATTCTTTCTCTGGTTTTTTTTCTGTTTCTTTCTTTCTTTCTGTTTGTCATTATTTTCCTTCTGGCTTTTCATTTTGTTTTTTTGTTTTTTTATTCTTTCAATATGTTTCCTTTTCTTTCTTTCTGATTCTATTTCTTTTTTTAATATATTTCTTTCTGGTTCTGTTTCTTTTTGGTCCTCTTTCTTTCTCTTTCTTTTGTTTCTTTTTCTTTCCGTTTCTCTTTCTTACTGTCCCTTATTATTCACTTCTGTTTCTTTTTCTTCTGATTATTTTTCTTCTCTTCTGTTCTTTTCTTCTCTTGTTTTTTCTGATTCTTAATTCCTGTTTATTTTCCTTCTTTTCTTTTTCTTCCTTTATGTTGCTACTACTTTCTTTCTGTTTCTTTTTCTTTCTGTTTCTTTTTCTTTCTGTTTCTTTTTCTTTTTGTTTCTTTTACTTTCTGTTTCTTTTTCTTTTTGTTTCTTTTTCTTTCTGTTTCTTTTTCTTTTTGTTTCTTTTACTTTCTGTTTCTTTTTCTTCTTTTTTTTTTTTTGTTTCTTTTTTACTTTCTGTTTCTTTTTTCTTTTGTTTCTTTTTCTTTCTGTTTCTTTTTCTTTTTGTTTCTTTTTCTTTCTGTTTCTTTTTGTTTCTTTTACTTTCTGTTTCTTTTTCTTTCTGTTTCTTTTTATTTCTGTTTCTTTTTCTTTCTGTTTCTTTTTCTTTCTGTTTCTTTTTCGTTTTGTTTCTTTTACTTTCTGTTTCTTTTTCTTTTTGTTTCTTTTTCGTTTCTGTTTCTTTTTCTTTTTGTTTCTTTTTCTTTCTGTTTCTTTTTCTTTTTGTTTCTTTTTCTTTTTGTTTCTTTTGTATCATTTCAACACAAACAAGGCAATAACGTCCTTAGGATGTAAATGGGTTACTGTGGATTAGAGGATATGAGAAAAATACTATTAAGAAAAGAGGACAATAAAAGAACAATAATTAAGAAGATAGAAAATAACGATTGACATTATGTTTGCATTTTTGAACATCAAAGTTGACTGGGAATGAAGAAGTCGGAAGAGAGTTTCACAAGTGAGAAGTGCGAAATAAGAAACTGTTAGCATAGAACTTATGGTTGCATCTAGCCATTTCAACTGTAAAAGGATGCAACCATGCTGCCAATTTAGTACTGTACTTAAATTTATAAAGTCTACGTACCATAGCGGAAACTTAAACTTAGCTAGCCACGATTACTGAACCAAACATACCACAGAATTACATACACCAAAACAACACTCATTTAGCATTCTTACTACAACCGCCATAATGTCTCATAGCAGAAAGTTCATCAGAACAATTACCATAAATGTATTTATAGAAAAGACATAAGGAAGCTATGGGGGTGGGAGAGGGACTGAACTCGAGATGCCAGGTCAGGACCAATAACATTGAAAATTCTTCTTTGAATTTTATCAAGAATTTCTAAATATATAGCAGGAATACCAGACCAGATGTTTAAGCAATATTCAAAGCAAGGACAAATGAGGGACTTAAAGATATATAAGATAGATTCTGGAGAGAAAGAAATGTCTCGCATGGTATAGTGAACCAACTTTCTTAACTGTTGATTTAGCAATTGATTCAATATACTCCTTGTATTTCATGTCAGCTGAAAAGGTTAGTCCGAGAAATGGCAATGAGTCACTTTTCTGGAAGTTAGTATCAGCCATACTAATAGAAGGTAAAAAAAAGTGTTCTCTCAGATGATTAAAAAGTTTCATTTTTGAGGTGCTAAAATTGACAAACCACTCATTGCCCCATTTAACAACAGATTGTAGGTCACTTATTTATTTTTCTTTCTTTCTCTTTCTTGATATTTGGATTGTTACATTGTTCCTTCATTTCATTCGGATATCCTTGTCTCAAAAATATCTTTGTTCTCCTCTTTCTTTGTGTCCTTTTCATTTTCTCCTCTCTCTTATATTCTACATATATTAACATAATTTCGTTCTAACATTAGCCAAGTTTTTTTTTCTTCTACATTATTCTTTTTCTTCTCATCCTCTTCTTTTCTATCTTTTAGGATGTGGACGATCGTAGCTCTCCACAGGTTCCTATCCTTTACAGCTCTTAGTAAGTCTTGTCTTTTTATTATCTCATTAGGTGGGTTACTCACTGTTTTCTGCTCTCGTACCTGCTTTTAATATATCTTGTGAATGTCAGATTCTCCAGGCCTTCTAGAAATGTAAAACCTCTTTCTGATTTGAATTCCTTAAATCTTCCTCGTTATTCACGTGTTCATTTCATGGGATTCTCGATATACTTCTGTAGAAAAAAATTCAGTGTCTTATACGCGGACTGATATTATAAACAATTTAACCCTCTTTTCTCTGTTTCTAATCAAATTCCCTGCTTCCTAATACTTTGCTTGGCTGTTAGAAGGATATTCTAATACGTCTACAGATTTTGTGGTCACATTTTCTGACCTGTATTCGAACGTTTCCCAGATATTTAAATTTTCGCACTTGCTTGATTTCGACATCTACAATTTATTGTTCACAAAAAAGAATTGTGTTGATTTGTTGTTGAGTTCCTTTCTTTAGCAAACCCAAAGCTCCAACTACGACAAAAACAGTTTTAGTATTTAAGTGCCACATCTTTTTATTTCCATCTTCAGGTTTTTGTGTTTGTTTAATTCTTCAAACCCTTCCTGACGCTGTTTTTTTTTTTTTTTTATACTTTCTACGTTCATGTTAATCAATGTTCTTCTTTGCATTTTATAATGATGTCTGAGACATTTACTTAAATTACTTTAACTGTCTGGATAAACAAATCGAAAATGACGGCAATATCTGCTCCCTTGCCTACAGATTCAGGATGATGTTTATACCAGTTTTTAGCTGTTTTTATCCCGTAGGAATGACAGATCTTCAAAGGGAGGTATGAACCTACTCTGTCATGATGATCATTGTAGTTATTGGGTAATGAGATAAGCTGATCAATCGTTTCAATGTATTGATCATAAAATCTAAATTTTCTGTCCGTACTATTATGCAAGTTATTTGCTTGGTAGTTGCGTATAAGCAGGTTCAACTCCCGTGGAAGAAGAATAAACTCTTCATCGCTACCCAAGTCTTGAACACTTTAGTCACTGGTGACTTCCGATTTGATCTACGGCAACATTTTTTCTTCGGGGAAATAACTGGCTATGTAGAGGTTTTTGGTCTCATCTTTAATGTATTTGTGTTTCGCTTAGGTTTTTCGCTTCTGTTATTAATAAATTATTATTTTATTTATTTTTATTTTTTTACTATTTAAGAAATTTATGTGTATTTTGAGAAATATGTGGTGTCTGATAAAAATGTGTATATTTTCGTGTTTATTATTTGTTCATTATATTTTATTAATATTGTTTAAATTGCATATAATATATGATTTATGACGTGTCTTGAAAATGGGTATATATATATATATATATATATATATATATATATATATATATATATATATATATATATATATATAGTCTACGTATATGCATAACGCAGATTTTGCTGAGAACCATAACTTGTCTTTTTTTTCAATCGTTATTTATTCCTTTCTTCTCACTTTCTTTTTTAACTTTTATTTTTTCCTTTTTTTTCGTCTGTTTTCCACCAGCACAAAAAATAGAGAATTATTCTAATGTTGTCCAATAAAAAATATATATATGGAATTTCCACATATTTAATACTAAGTATCGCACAATACAAGACCCGTGAGCCACCCAATTTAGAGGGTTATTCAATGGACTGTTTGATATATCAATTTAAGAGTGTGTGGTCTGAAGTGAAGATTAAGAGGATTAGGAAGCTAAATAAGTTTGAATTGAAGAGGTCAAGATTGATTTGCACAGGGAAGCATTCACAAATTAGCATTCTTTTGGGGAAAATCTACGAGTGTAGAATTTCCTTCTTACAATTAAAATATCGTGAAAATTCGACTCATTGGACGACGTTTGTCACGTTCTTGCTGTAAAGTTTGGAACTGTTAGAACTTAAAGGCTTTCTATGAAAATAATGATGGACTAGAAATAGGCGACAGGAAAAGGATTCAGTCTGAAATATCAGACAATACTGAGATGCCGAAGGTTACAAATACTCTTATACTTCGGCTCTCCTATTGATAATTTGAAACGACCTGTACATATTCTGTGTTTTCGTGGAATGTAAAGACGATCACCTCCAAGTTAGTTACAAAGGTAAGGGTAAAATTCAAGAAATAAAGAAGCCTATATATATTTTAAAATATAAAATAAAATTCATTCTTTAATCCGATATACATAAAATATAAAATAAATTTTATTCCTTAATCCGATATACATCTGACACTTCAAATAATATTTCTAGTGCACATCTGAATTTGAGTAGAGACATTTTTATTTTAATTTTATATATATATATATATATATATATATATATATATATATATATATATAATCAACACAGAGACTCTTCTGCTTTCATCGCTGATGCTAAATTCCTGGAGGGCACTATGCCTTCTTGTCTTCATTTTTTTCTATTGACGTAAAGTAGAGCGAACATACCGAATCAACTGCTACGTCTATTGGGATTGGTCAAATGTGTCATGCAAGAAGTTTTTCTTTCATATTCATAAATCTACCATTCGTCCGTGAATTGAATACTTTTAACATATCTGGTTTGGTGATTCTCGTGTAAGTCTCGTGATTTTTGACAAAATCCAAAGAAGGATCTCTGATATAATTGAACCAGATCAGGCATCCCAACTTCAGTTACATACTCAGTGACGTGACATGCCTTCTCTCTCTCTTTTTTTTTTTTTTACAAATATTTTCATGGCAACTGCTCTGCCGAGCTTTTTTCCCTACTGCCCGGACTATAGGTATTTAAGCATGATACTAGATTGGCATCTTGGTCCCACTATTGAAATAGCTAAATGCAACTATCACGTCTTCTCTATTCGATTCAATATTTACTTGCCCCCACCTCCACGAGGGAAAGTTGTGGAACAAGGCCGAGTTTTACGTGGGGTTTCCGAGCCCGTAGGCTCGGGCAAAAAAAATGCCCGTAGAAAATGTAAAAACAGAATCGGGTTGGTCAACCTCCCCGAACGAGGCTCTACCCTTCAGCGGAGCCTCGTCCGGGTTCCTCTTTGCTCATGGGCAGAGAGTTTGACCGTCAACATTAGATTCTTTTCTCGCATTTCCCGCTTCTGTCTTTTTTTAACCTTCTTCCTTTTGGTGCATGAAAACGTAAAACGGACCGCCAACATACAGTAAAATTCCCTGTGTCTACACACTCTCTGAAATTGACCACTCTTCCTTTATAAATGTAGTTACATTTAATATATATATATATATATATATATATATATATATATATATATATATATATATAATAAAAACGTAGATAGCGTGTAGACAAGTTACTTTTTAGGTACTCTACCAAACTAGCTAACCATGTATGGAATTGAAAAGAAAAAAACAACAGTTATCCGTTGATAAGGTGGAATTTTTTTTTAAAATCAAAACCGTACAACAGCCATATTTGCAACCTCTGCCAACAGGAAAAGTAGCGACTATGACATTTCCAGATCCAAGAAACCTTTTAAACCAGAAATCCGAAGTTTAAGCCCTTGCTTACATATCAGAAAATTTTTCTTAAGTAAATATCAGGTTGGATAAAAAAAATGATTTTTAACACCCTGCCGATACATTTCCAATACACTTGATTATCTTTTCTTCCCCCTTCTTCTTTTTCTTCTTCTTCACATCCACATCCTCCCTTTAAATTACACCAAACGTTGTGAGTTTGTTTATTTATTTTCGAAAATAATAAGGAAGCGTTCTTGAACTTTGGCAAAAATTAAAAAAAAAAAGCTTTAGGTGGTCATTTGATAAAATAAAATCACCTGAAGATACCATAACGTTGAAATCAAGGTACCGGATTCAACTGACCTCCTCATTTTTTAAGTATTTATATATATATATATATATATATATATATATATATATATGTGTGCGTGTGTGTGTGTGTGTGTGTGTGTGTGTGTGTGTGTGTGTGTGTGTGTGTGTATGTATGTATGTATGTATGTGTGTGTGTTTGTGTGTGTGTGTGTATCGGGTGTAACATCAGCATTGTCCAAATCGTGAAACTTTCTTTCTATTTTTATGTGCCATGTCCATTCAGGAATTTGGCGATCATGGCTTTCCACCTCCCTCTATACCTTGCAGCTCTCAACAAGTTCCTTCCCTCAACTTCCTCCAACAGACCACGTTCTGTCATCTACCATATATGTCATGCGATTTTTCCCCTTGTCTCTCTTTCTCTCTATTCGACCCGTGAGTATCAAATTCTCCAGGCACTCCTTCCTCATTATAAGTCCCAGAAACTTCAGCTGCCTCTTCCTGATATTAAGTATAAGCCTCCTCCTTGTTTGCAACCACTCTAAGATCTCATCGTTGCCCACACGCTCGGTCCAGGATATCCTTAGCATCATTCTGTAGAACTACATCTCTGTTGCCTCGAGTCTCTTCTTCATCGTTGAGGAAATCGTCCAACATTCGCCTCCGTAATGATGGGCAGATGTCACATTTTCAGTATTCTTTGTTACCAAGGATATCCTCCTGCCTCGCAGTACCCTGCCCAACATTTGGAATGTGTCCTTGGCCATCCGGATACGCCTACAGATTTCAGTGTCGCACTTAACCGTCCTCTGTCAAGACGCTTCCCAGGTATTTAAACTTCCGCGTCTGCATGATTCTCATATTCCCAACCTTCAGATCGCATTTAGGGCTCATCCTCTTACTGCCGACCATGCACTCCGTTTTCTTGTAATTTATGCTTACTCCCTTCTTCGGACTCTCCGTCGCTACCTTCAGTTGGAGATTTTGTAATTTCATTTCCGTGTCTGCTTTCAGTACTGTGTCACCTGCGTATCTTATGTTGTTAAAATTGTGCCCGCCAACGCTAAATCCC